CCTAACCCTAACCCTAACCCTAACCCTAACCCTAACCCTAACCCTAACCCTAACCCTAACCCTAACCCTAACCCTAACCCTAACCCTAACCCTAACCCTAACCCTAACCCTGACCCTAACACTATAAGATACGATTTAAATCGATCTTATTTATAAGCATGGAATATACTGGAATTTCATTATAAACTATATAAACCTAGAATATTCTTTAAAGAAATTCTAGGAAAAAGCAAGCAATTTCATCTCAACTCAGCCTAGCTCTTCTAAATTGACTTCAATTCAACTCTTATTCTATATATTCGATTTATCCCTACAGCTTAAACTGACTAGATCTTCCACTATACTTATAATAATACTATTCCTTCTTATTATAAGAGCTAACCTCCAAGAATTTGTATGTCAAACATTTTAAGATCATCACTTTGCGATTCATCAGTTCACCTCATGTTTCGTTATGTGTCTATCTTAAAAACCATCGCATGATTTCCGTGTAAAATTCAGTCCTTATGCATGCTATTGAAATTTTCCCGCCAGTACCAAATTCTTGGTTTTGATCAGTTCAGGTGATTTCTCCTGTAAGAATTTGACCAGATCATCTCCCATGAGTGTTCATTCAGGATTTCAAGTCTACCAAGCCCCCCATTGAAGACTACAGTGCTCTGTCTTCACCTTGTTTGAAAGAAAACAGTTCGAGACATTAGCTGGATGACTGTTCAAAACTGATATCCCGTTTCCTTCTTTCTCATCACAAGCAGCGCAATTTTCTGGCATAGGTTGAGCTTTTGTTGAAGTGACGACATCTTCGTTAAAGATAGCAGTGGCTTTGTTATCAGTAACACGCAATCTCTTCACAACTTTCTCAGTTAAAGACTGCAATTCATCCCCTTTTCTCTTACGGTTCATCAATGGGTACGCAGCCGATAGTGAATTGGATCTCATTCCACTGTTTCCCACACCAGTCGTGGCATGATCGATAATGAGTGCTCCAGACACTACGATATCTTTGTCGCCGTTTGTCTCATCCTCATCTTGGTCTTCTCCCTCTTCAATGCCAACACCCACAACGTTCCCATTACCCAGCGAGTCACTCAAGACATCTGAATCCTTAATTTTACTTGAAGCTTTCACTGACTTTTGTGAGACTATTACTTATTAGCTCTTATTTCGTGGATTCGGTCGGGAGAGCCCAGGTCAACATACCAAAATTTTCGGGCTTCATTGCTTCCAAGTCGACGCCTCTTCCTTTCAAAATCATGAGAATTTCTCGAACACACATCCATAACTCGCCGAGTCGGTTCTTTCCTGGCCAAAGTTTGACCGGTGTTGCAGCACTTTGACCCATGTTCAAGCCGGAACCCCAAACATTGTCAGCGCGCATCTCCACAATCAGACAGTCGGCAGTATGTAATAGTTCCAGCCTGAACTTTGGATTGGAAAGAACCTTGTACCAAAGACAATCAAACATCACACGTTGCCAGATCTTGTCCCATTCTACAACATCGATTTGGACTTTGTTGCCAAGATTTTTTGCCTCCTGAGGCTCACGTGCATTTAAGAATTTCTCAAATAGGGCGGGGTCTTGAGAAAGATGTGTCTTGCCGGCCTGGAAATAGCTATATAAATGTCAATGTTATCAAATAATGAATCGATGGGTACTTACTGCTCGCCTGTCTACCAAGTGCGACCGAGATTGTCCCTCAAGGGTGATTTGTGGAAGTTGGACAAGAATCCCCATTTTCCGCCGGCATTATGAAAACCAATCATGTTTTTTGGGAATATAACCTCCGTTTTTCTCTGCATACGACCTGGTAATCGTGCCGGGAGGGCATGGATTGGGAGGTCCCGGTGGGCTAATTGGTTCTTTCGTCGAGGCATTTTGAGTGTTTGTTCATACTAACAGCATCAAACTTGAGAGTTTTAGTTTAAAATGAATATGGTGATATTCTCGAATGAGTTTGTAAGAAGAAGGATACTGAAAGGACTTGTTGACAGTTCGAATCGAATTCCCGAAGAAGGGAAAGTGTAATGATTGCCAGCGACTGAAGATAGCAATGATCTTTTTTTAGTTTCTTTTGGATTCTCAACGATGTGAGAGTATAGTGATGGTGAAGTTAATGTAGAGTATCGAATCAAACAACTAGTCATTGAATATTTGAATCAAATAGATTTAGATTGGTGTAGAATAGAAGCAGTGGTAAAGTGTAGAAAAAATGTATAAGATTAACGATGCGTTGATTCCTGAATCGGTTGGTTATATTTACTTTTTGAAACTTGTTATATATGGTTGTTTAGATGACGGATATGAAATAATAATAGCAAGGAAAGTAAGTAAGGGAAGGAAAAGGTAAACTGGGTTGATGTCGATTGGAGATGATCCTGTAAAGATGGAGTAAGTTGTAAAGGTTTGGGGATATCAGAGGTGAAGTTCTTTAACTGAAAGATTCGCTTAAGATCGGAACAAAAGCGAGCTAAAATCAGGCCGAAGTAGGCCCCGAAAAGAAATTCGGAATAACTTCATATTCACTGTTGACTAGCGCCGTCTTGAGCGAATTGCCCCTCCTTTGGTCTTTGAAAATCTTGAAAATTTTTGCCCTTTCACATCAACAAACAAAAATTCAAAAACTCCAAAACCCGATTGGAGTTGAGTTGTAACAAACCCTCTTTTCCCATTTACTATTTCAACTCAAATCAACAACAACCCAATTCATTTTTCTCTCCATTTGATCTCCTTTACAGATCTCGATGTATACCTCAAGTAATATTAGACGCTTTTTAACTTCAAGGGAAGCGTAAAATAAGCCTGTTTAGTTCCAAGGACAAGCTATTAAATATTTGACTCCAATCGACAGCGATTCAATCCCAGTTATCATAAATCTCTGCTAATTACTGGATTTTGCAGCTCACTTATCATTTGCCTGACAAAATTTCAAAATCATAGCACGAAATCCTCCATTATTTTCGATAACCGATTATAAAAATATAGGAAATATGGATGTAAACGAGTTAATAGCATTTTTTCCGAGGTTGCCATTCGTGAACGACCATTTTGTTAGCGCACCACCAGATCTGCCAAGCGCAAGAACACTCAAGTCTAGGCAGATGAAGGTCCAGATGACTTTGGGTATTACGCTCCCACGGTTCGAGACAACTTGACAGCAACAAAGATTTGAATTGCACAAGCCAAGGCACAAAAGTCCAACCCAGAAGGTGTCAAAGTTGTGAATGTTACCGAGGAGAGTAAAGAGTCCATGGCTGGTTATCTATTCTTCAAAGACACTGCGCAGTTGACGAGATTTATGCGTGGACCACTCAATGAAGTTACAGCCGAGTGGCTCAAGAGTCGTCGTGAAGGTTTTGGTCTGGAATGTAAGAACTAAGAAGGATGGGAACGATCCATCGACTTACAAGTGGAGCACGGCCAGGCTCTTTGAGATAATCAAAAGTCTCACATCGGAAAACATACAGCTCATTAGGGCCAACAATATCATCACTCATGCCGACCTTGATATCGAAGATTCAATTAGGGACGAACCAGGTTACTTTTGTTTGACTTTGTACGATGGATGAAGTTATTCTAAAGTTCGCAGAACATTTTCCAGAACAGGTAGGAAATAACGATATGCGTTCATCCGAAAACTGGTATCGATGCTTTCTTTTGTTGAAGTGCTACTGGAGAGAAACTCGAAGAAGCATTTTGAAGAAGGATGAGAAGGATAGCAAATTGAAGAGAGGTTTAGTCTCAAAGCAAGCACTGATTCCAAGATTCAAGAGCCCGAGGGACTTCTTTTCGATGACACCAAGATGAATGATGAATAGGAATATGCCATACTGCGGTAAAATACTTACAAAAAAGAGCTGGCTGCAGCTAATTCTGATAACGATACATCGGATACGGACAGCGAAGGTGAAGATTGATACGAAGGAAAGAATGAGAACTATGAACAACGGTAGAAAGTGAGCGGTAGAGGAAAATTATTTGGTAAATTACGAATTTCTGTATCCAAATGTGGTTTTATTACTAATGTGCTATAAGTTTGGTGTCATGGTGGGATCGGTGAAGTGTGAAGTGTGAAGGGAGGGGGGGTAGGGGGGTCAGATCGATGAAATGGGATATTTTACAATGCATTAACGGCCTATCTTTCATTTCTTTTAAGATCAATACATCAACTGATGTTTTGAGCCGTTAGCATTCTGCTATGTTTTTTTAGCGTTCTTTATTCAAGATCAGACTTGCATACATGGTTTTAACAATGGCTTCTCTAGGGCAGTACCTCATTCTTTCAACATAATGAGCATGTCATTTGATTCAATAATACAAAAGAGAATTTGCTAGATTTCCCGATGCAAAATATTTGTGATGTGACCCATAAGCTTGACTCCTGAACCATCTAAACAAATCAAACTGTAAAAATTTGAAGAAAATAATAAGTTATATGGCTAAAGAAATCACCAAAGACTGAATAATAATAGACTAATAAAACTACCTACCTAGGCTGATGTGTCACGAAGAGAGGTTTGAAATGAGTTCACATTCACTTAAATCTGGCCCCACCTTGGAATATATACGAGTTTTCAATGATCTTCACTTCTAATCTACAAAACTGACTGGATCCATCAGCCAGCCGATTGACTATTCTTCCATTTTGGTCATCTTGAGAATTCATTATAGACTGCAGGTACAACGCTAGGTACTTGTCTCTCGAAAGCAGACCAAAGAAAACAAGGTTGAGGACAGCTGGGATTTCTAAGAACGAAATATCAAGGATTGTCAAACATGGCCGACAATCCATTTGTCCCGGTTCCAGACGCGATAAAGCAAAAGCTTTCTGAAGGAAGAATTCTCGAGGCCTACACCTTCGCTGAGATAGACCGCATCTTACCTTCTCGATTCCTACGTGGCAGTGATTGGGTATGTAGACCTCTCTCAATCACTCTTTTCTTTATGATAGAACAGGCTCTAACGTTTTGAAGGACTCTTTAAACTTGACCTCTTCCGAATCGATTAACTGCGGAATCGCTTTCAACAACCTTTGTCTCTTAGCGTGGGAGAAGGTCAATCTCTCCACATGGCAAATCGAAAGCGAATTGGAAAAAATGGTATTACAATGGGCGGAGAAGAACAAAGATACAGGGAAAGCAATTCTGCGGGATATCTTACCAAAAGCTAAAGAGTTTGGCTGGCAGGTAAGATTTGGTTGCAGGATAGAGGGGCTTGAATCATGGTAATCAAAGGACATTATTTAAAGTTTGGAAGCTCGTGTAGAGACGGGGAGATCTTAGCAAATCATTGGAAGATGGTACTTGATGTTATTACTGCTTCTGCTGAATCATGTAATACAACCACTTGCCCCAACCTTAACTGGTTCAGCTCTTGGCTCTTGAGTGAAAAATCTTCTCAACAACATTCAATTTCTCAAACATAGCTTCAACTGTTAATATTACTTTACATGGCCTATTCATACTGCAGATCATACAGATCTATGAATCGAAAAATACTCAAATTAGTTTGTTGATGATCGTTGTAGTACTTGAACAATTGAGTTTTCATTGAAATTTTGCCACCAAATGACAGTATCAAGGGTATTGATCATTAATAAACTAGATTCGCGCAGAAGAACAACGTGTTGTTCTCTTTAAACTCTACCACTTTCGAATTTGCCAGCTAAAAAAGGGGTCTTCACATCACACGAACAGGTAAATGTTTGATTTAAATTATTGGAAGGCGATTTACAAAACATATAAATACGACAGCTTATTCTCACTCTTCTTCTTCTCTTTAGCTACATATCTCCTGACTGGTAACGTCGAGAGAATCCAAGAACGATAGCTAGAAGACTGGATCATAGACCAGACAATAGTTTAATGAAGATAATTCGCAAAGTTTAATCCACAATTCAGATGAAATAATCATCATATCACATATTTCTCGCCAATTCCTCGTTTGACAGCAGGTCTCTCTGAAATTCTCTCAATCCATTTAAGTAGAGATGGAAATACTTTCATCTCTTCCTCCGTAAATCCACTTCCTGGCCAATTTTTCACCCATGCCCAAGTCCCAATATCAGCTATCGAGTATTTCCCTTTGTCCTTGCCAGCAAGAAATTCTTTTGGTTGCCCGGTGTACTTGCCGGAAAGCTGTAGTTCGAGAACTCCATATACTCGATAAGTTTCCTTTCGAAATCGATTAATGGCGACTAATTAGTCAGCACCTCATGTATTAGACTCGTCAAAACCATTCCATGTAATAAAGAATGTGTACACGATTACTTACAACTACTTTGTTCTTCTGCGCGGCTGAAAAATCTAAAATTTCCTTGATATGGAGCACCGCTTCCATGCCAGAAAAATAACCATTGCAAGAGCTCACTTTGCTCAAGTTCATCGGTGAACCCAAATTGATGGTCTTTATCTAACCTCAAAAGGTACAGCAGCTCCGCGGAAGTCTCCATCGATGGAAATGGTGGCGACTGAGTGTTGTCAATGATGATTGGTATTCGACCTGATTCACGGTGTTAGAAGCTTGAGATCTGAAATTAAGATTATTTTTACCATTTGGATTGAGGCGAAGAAACCAATCTTTCTTTTGCTCATTTGTCGATGTATCTCTAATTTGAGAGGCTTAGTCGTTGTATTTCATCACAATTGTTGGAAATATGTTAGGCACTAACAGTAATGTAGTCGTCCATTCTGTACCATATGCATCTGCTAGTTCTTCAAGCAATATTTGTACTTTCTGGCCATTGGGTGTATTCTCCGTGACAAGATGAAGACCCTATTTTTGCTTCGTTACTTGCGTGATCATGATTGAGGAGGAAGTTAACTTACTTTGGCGCTTTTGACATCCAAAGGAGTTTTGTCATCGTAAGGCTCAAAGGTCATTGTTCCTAAAAAAAAAGTCTTTTGCATAGAAATCTTTCCGCTTCTGGGTGGGACGGAGTGAATTAGATTCGTGAAAATGTGGCAGCTAGATCAATAAGGTTATTCAAGATGCAGTTGCTGATCAAGTTTGACATCTTGATCTTGGCGTTCGGTCATGATAGTTCAATCCCCTTAATTTTCGCTTATCTTCTCGATAACATGATGGATATTAGTTTTTCGGGATTATCAGATACAAATTTGAAGGTTTTCGGCTCCTAGGCTCAGCAAGTCGTTTGGGTGACAATGGTGTTGTAGGGATTCTCCGAACGCGATTCTCCGACGTCGATCCTTCGATAAGCGATAAGAATAGCCTCTCCTAAGATCGCATTCTTCCGATGCTGGAAGCTAGCAAAGGGAGATGTATTCAATTTCACGAAATTGATAAAGTCGCCTATGACATGAAGATGTTTAAAATTTTGAATAAAGATTCTATAAGATTACATTTCATTCCAACTTCTTATCGACGCCGAAAATATCAAATTCCATTCCTGGATAAAAATACTTCGAAAAATTCGAAAATTCCCTTGAACCTCAACGCAACAAATCATGCAACCTTTTCATCTTACTGCCACTGGCTATAATCTCAATTATCTCCCTGAGTATATCGCCTTACGACATGGTTTCTTTAAAGAGCAAGGACTTGACGTCACTGTAAACATACCTACGCCTTGGGATGGTGTCCTTGACGCTCTCGCTGATGGCACAGCCGACATGGCTCTTGGTGGCATCTGGGTACCATCAATGTACCGTGACAGAGTCAAGGACTACACTGTATTCGCACAGATTGCAAATCGATGTCCTTTAGCCATACTCAGGCGTGGCCATGACGAAAGATTTAAACTATCTGATATGGTTGGGAGAACGGTTCTGATGAAATCCGGAGGTGGAGCTAGCGTTGGCCTTTTCTTCAAGATGTTATTGCGCGAAAACAATATCGATCATAATTCTCTTGACTATATTCAAGATCTTGATGGTATAATGCTGGGCAATTTATTTCAGGGTGGTATGGGTGATTATTTCATAACAGACAATCTTTCGGCGCGGGTTATGGTTGAACAAAACAAAAATATCTCCATCGCAATGGAAATGGTATCTCAGAAAGATGTTCCTTGGAGCGTGTATTATCGGGAGACTGAAGGAATCACGCCGGAGGTTCTGGATGCACAAAAGCGTTTTTGTGTTGGTCTAGCTAAAGGTATCGATTGGGTACTCGAGCATGATGCAGAGACGTTCAAAGATGAGCTCTCTGAGCTCTTTCCTTCGGCACCTATCAATTCTGTTGTTAGCGTGACGAACTCTTTCCGGAAAAATGGAATGTGGACTTCCACCGAGATACCCCGTGAAGGATATAAGAGGTGGCAGATTGGACTTGCTGGTCACCGTCTGATTAAGGAACCGTTTCCTTATGAAGTCGTTGTTGACAATGGACCAGCATCTGCGGCGCAAAAATTACGGGGTGAAAAATAGAGTTTTTTTCTTGTGATTATCACAATTTGGATGTTCGCTTGTAAAAAGCGTTTGATCTCCGATTATTGTTCACTGTAAATATTGCCAAACAAGAATTTGAGTTGTTAAACTTTATTTCCGAGCGACTGAGGGAAATGGGGATTATAGCAGTCATTGGTGTATTCTGATTGTTCATATATAATATACCACGCCGATTCCTTGTAGAAATTCAAACGTCTAAGTTCAGTGAAGTACCTTAGTGTAGTGTGGATTACAAGAGAAAATCTCTGATTTCGGTTCAATCAACCACTAACTTCGTACTTCAGCCCGATACTCTAGATCATGTTATTTTTGTATCAACTAAATTTATCCATCTCAATGATAACACCGCAAAACTGATTCACTATGTCTCTTCGAAGTAGATATTGTCAAAGAAACCGGATCTCAATAATGACATTGGGATGATCAATGACCACGAATCAAAATACATTGTTTCACGAATGAGTACACACACGATTTCAAACTAGCGCACACGCATCGCATTTAGCGTTTGTTGCTCTAAATTTAGGATGGACATAAACAACCAATATGACCACATACATAACATGAGGAAATCACACTACTGTCGAGTTGATATGAACAAAATTGACTTGTAACCAATTATTTCACTGAGAGTAAGAAGCCGAGGAGGCACGAAACAAATAGCTAATTGGAAAAATTTGTTATTTGAATATAAAATATTCATTCGTTATTTGACCTGGGTCTTGATACCAAATTAATAGAAGAAATTATTCACGTCCCCATCATAGGGTCAAGTCCTATGTCTCCAAAATCCACATCCTGTAGATCAGGCCACTGCGCAGCAAAGCTGAGCATCTCACTAAAGGCAAAGTTGTCCGCCGATAACAGCGTGGATGTATTGTCACCGCTGATTTCATTCGTAGTAGCGATACCACGAGAAGACGGTTGTAGTTGTTGCACCAAATTTCTCATTTGTTTTTCAAATTCAATGCGATTTTGATACACATCTTCGGCGTTGTTGGCCACTAAGAAGTCGACCGTTGTTGAAGAGAGGGTATCAAACACATCACGACAGCCTGCTGCACCAGGAAAGTTTTCCGACATGGCAGAGAGTGTAGAGGCACAGGACTGAAGTGTTGAAATGTTCTTGCTTACAGAATTTCGATTGCGTATTTCTTTCGAGTGCCAGAGTCCATATATAACTCCGAGACCAGCCATGAAGAGATGATGTACTGATTTCCATAGTACATCAATTTTCCCATCTCGCTGCAAAATTTTGATACTTGCGATCAGTTTACAGGAAGCTTCAAATGACATTACCAGTTCTTCACTTGAAACCTGTATAACTATGGATGCAGGCCTATACAACAGAAGGATTGCATTATTATAAATCACATCCCAGTATGCCTGATGAGCGAATATGGACGCTGGGTGGGCTTGACTAAGTCGTGGAATAGCAGTATACCATTGCTGTAGACGAGGTTGAATGTCCTGGACCCAAGTTGAATAGTCAATTCTGGGAGAAGATATTTTAGGAGTCCAGGCTTGGGTGTGAAGCACATGCTTGATCTCGGACTCAAGTTTTGACATATTGAACATGTGGTTATGGGCTCGTTGAGTGTGAATGTCGAAATCGTAGAGCTCACGGGTAAGTGAGCCCCGTGAAACATTCCATGGATTCGGAAGGGGCACATTCGTACTTTCATCAATGATGCCCAAGGGCCGACCCAGAGTTATACATAGGACGCGATCAAATTGGTAAGTAGAATACCAAAGGCGCCGGCGTTCGTGTAACAAATCCGGATCCATTGTTGAGGACTGTTCCTCGGTCTCCCAATGTAAGCCTATATCGACACATAATCGTAGTGCAAAACCTGTTAAATGCCATAAGCTTCCATGAGAAGGGCAAAGAGAAACAAATTGAGCTAGCAATAATATGGCGCGAAGTGTCTCAAGATCATTCTTCGAATAAGCAATGATCTTTTCGATTGACCCAATTGCTGACCGGAAGCAACCCTCGCTTTGAGATGGGCGACCTCCGGATGGATTGGGAACATCACAAAGGGCAATGGCGAAGATCATGTAGGCCGTAAAGGTATCATTCTCAGTTATTTGATCTGAAGATTGTGGATCATTCCTGGAGCGATATGCACCCTCAACAGCTTTCTCAACTTGTGCCCGATTTACAATAGGCAGATGAGGAGTACGATATTGGAAATAGACTCCGACCAAATGATCGGCAGCGTGGCGTGGGGGAAGAGAAGCCTCGGCTGTTGGTACAGATGAGAATGGATCATAAGAATTTTGCTTGGAGGACAGAGAAGAAGGGAGGGAGTCGATTCGAATTGCCGCCATCACCATTCTGGCTAGCGTTATCCCACTGCTTTGTCCTAGAAACCGCGGTTGTCTTGAGGGTTCAACAACGACACTTCTCACACTCTTGACTAAATTCTGAAAATGATTTGTGCTTGCGTTCGACGTTACTGAAACTGCTGTAGGAAGGATACCAAGATCAATTCTTGTCGGGGAACATGGCTCGACAGGAGTGGGACTTTCGGTATTAACTGAAGCACTGTTTCCAATTTGCATGCGCAATTCTTCGTTTTGCTTTCGTAGCTCTCGATTTTCTCGAGTTGTGCTCTCCAACTGCGCCTCTAAATTGGCCACATAGTTGCGTGGTATCTTGATAAAGTTTAGAGATTAACGACGAAGGAATTTTGAATTGACATTATTAGCTCACCTCAGCTTGTTTGCCTGAGTGATAGGTTAAGCATGGGCTGCGTGCACTTTCGCAATTGGAGCAATTCGGACTCTTCAAATCACACTGTACATTCAATCCGATATCAGCGAGAAGAAGATCGGACTGGAACAAATTTGATAATTACTTTCTGCTTTCTCCGACGGCATCTATGCAAGTCAGCATTGAATTCTCGCTTTGCTATGCTATCTTTGCACTTGTAACCATTCCGACTCACCTCTGACATGCGGTCACTCCTTTGGCGAGCCTCTGAGTGGGGCGCGATGATGCTTGCATTGAGTATCTACCCTATTTTCGGGATTTGATTCTGAGACAAAGGTGGAGATATTGATGATCGATGATTTGTATCTTGACAGTTGAGGGGGGTCATGTAGAAGTTGGATGTAAAGACATTCGGTGCGGAGGTTGTGTAGATAAACTAAAGTCGCGATGAATTTTCGGAGCAATCCGATCTGTTCTTGATCGAGACCAATAACCCCCATTGTTGAAAATGCACAACGAATCTAGCAGTTCTAGTACAAATGGTATTATCTGGAGTGCAGTGATTGGGTTACTCCGCAATACCATTCATTGGCCGGATAAAACCATCATCCTTTCCTTATCGGTTTATCATAAGATACTCGATAAGTAACCTCTTATCAATGTTATCATGGAATTTTGAGATTGATTTGAATGTTGATGTTCGATGAATGAGATATCAAACTTCAAAATGTGAGAGATGGAAGATCTTCATGGGACTTCATGAAATATATATGTATATAAAGACAACTTAGTTGACGAAGTTCATTCCTCGTCTCGTAACATTGCAGCAGTTTTTAATTGGATTGTGAAATAATTATCCGAGTATTCACACAACCTTTTCAATGGAGTCCAGCCCAACAATGGCGAAGACAGATTCTCTCAAGGCAAACATCGACACTGACGTCAAACATCAAGTCGACGGTACCTGTGTCTCTGAGATGACAGGCACAATCCTAGAAATCGACCCAAGAAAAGAAGCAGCCGCACTCAGAAAATTCGACAAATATGTTCTCCCGGTTTCAGTGATATTTCTCGTCTTGTCCACTCTAGATCGAAACAATGTGAGTTGTATTGTTGATCCTCAAAACCAATCCTTCCTAAATTTCAATAGCTTGGAAATGCTAGAACTTTTGGGTTTGACGAGGACGTCGGACTCAAGGGCGGTCAATTTGGTAACATAACTACACTGTCGAGTGTCTGCACCATAATCTTTGAACTTCCTTGGGTTTTGGCCGTGAGGAGGTTTGGTGCTAATAAAGCAATCGGCACTGCATTCGTCCTCTGGAGTGCTTGTACACTTGGAACTGCGTTCATTCATACCTACGCTCAAGCCATCGTAGTTCGTATGATTTTGAATGCTGCCGAAGCTGGTCTTGCCCAAGGGTTTGCTTTCTTATTCTCTACTATCTACCCCAGAGAATTGGCAGGAAAGCGTATAATGACGACAAATGTTGCGCAATGCATATCCGGTGCTTTTGGGGGACTATTTGCATATGCTGTTCAGACTATGGGGACGCGGAGGGGCCTCGCAGCATGGAGGTGGCTATTCATTGTCGAGTTTTGTATCACAATACTTATTTGCGGCATCGGTTGGATATTTCTTCCAAATTCGGTTGAAACAGCTTGGTTCTTGAATGAAGAGGAGAAAGAAACCATGCGATTGAAGAAGATTCGAGACTTTGCAATCAGAGGCGAAGAGAAGTTCGACCGCAAATGGATCAAAGTTGCTCTCACAGACCCTTTTGTCTATCTGCTTGGTATAGCATTTTTCACTTCATCCGTGGCTATCAATGGATTCGGTGTATTCTTACCTACTATTCTTTCTGGTCTTGGGTTAGTATTCATAATTGACAGAACTTTCCAGAATTTTGCTAATACAACTTAGATACAACTCGCTCGCGGCAAACTATATGACTATCCCAATCTATGTTGTTGGTCTTATTTCCCTGATCATCCAGGTCTACTTTTCGGATAAATACAAGAAAAGAGGAGTTTTTATCATTGCATGTTGTGTTCCAGTTGCAGTTGGATATCTCATATGCGTAGGGACGCCCAGTAATGGAGCTGGCTACGCTGGAATGTTCATTCTCGTGCTAGGTGAGCAATGATCATATTCTCTTTGCATATTGAAGCTAATAACAGATTTACAGGACTTTATCCTATATCTACGCTGGCTGTAACTTGGATTTCCACAAATTTGTCACCAGATGATAAACGTTCGATTGGAATGCCCATAGCATATTCGATTGCAAATGTATCTTCGCTGGTGTCGTCTCAGCTATACCCAACTCAACAAGGCCCACGATATATCGTTGGTAATTCAGTCTCAGCTGGTCTCACAGTTGTTGCTGGCTTCCTTTATGGTGGATGTTGGTTCTTGCTTCGACGCAGAAATGCAAAGAAGGAGAAGCTTATCGCTGAGGGTGCCACAACAAATGGCTTGGAAGGTGATATGAGCCTCGATTCCATGTACATTCTGTAGAGAGTCGAGAGAAATCGAGAAAGTGATTGTTTCGGCAATAGATGATGAGGATAAATTGAGATTAATCTTTTAAAGAGTCAAATTCGTATACTGCTAGAGGATTAAAAAATGGAACGGTGTGTGATGTGAGTTTAGCATATACGACGATAGCTCTAAGCATGTCAAGAGTGAGTATGTGAAGTTTCACCTGATAGACTACCTACCCACCCAATCATCACTCGACGGGAAACCAAAAATGATAGATGGGCCGAGTTACAAATCAATGATAAAGGGCTTCTTAATCGGCGCAATAAATTTGAACACGATGCACAAGTTCTATCTACTTGGCAGTCCGTCGAATGAGTGTTGGGCTGAAATAAGCGACACCTCGCCAAACCTTGTCATACGTTTTTAGACAAAAGGAGATAAGTTTTTGGAAATTAGGCTCAAAATAATTGTAAGTAAATGCTTTCTCTAATGAATCATTAATGTTGATACGATTTTGGATTCGGGTATGAATGCAAATGGAAATTTTTCGAAAATTAATTTTTAATTGGATATATCATTGCCGTAAGGAATGATCAGCAGATATATACATATTTAAATACAATAAGGTTGCAATGTCGCCAAAGAACTGATCAGAAAACAAAATATTCACAACTTCATGCTCCAGATCCTCCACCTTTCTCCTCCTTAATCCTCCACTCCACTCTTGATCTAAGCGTACTCCCAAGCGGAGGGGCCTTCACCGGTGTATGGGACAGTAGCAACAGCGATGCCGGTGCAGTTTCCAGTACCAGATCCACCAGGAGTAAGGAAGACAGCATAAACACCGTCACCTTCGCGGCAAGCAATAAATCCGTAGTCAGGGAAAGACAAAGATCCGAGGGAACCGTTCTCTCCAGCGGTGTAAGTCCATCCAGAGACGACTCCACCGTGGGTGTCGGCGGAGTGTGGTTGGGTGTATGATACGGAATAATCAGTTCCGATGTAAACTTGTTGACCTCCTGGAACTTCAGTGTTCAAACCGAGAGTGCTGCCACCAGAGACGAAGGTTGTAGAAGTACCTTCTGTTAAATGGTTAATCATGGGCATTCATAAATCATGTCGTGGAATCAAACTTACCAGGGCAGGCTGAGCCGACGGATTCAGGGCAGTATGAGGAAGTTTCCTTTCCGATATAGAGACGACCTCCATTAGCGGTGATGGCTTGGTTTTGGAGATCAGTACCGGATCTGATGGAGATGAGGCCGAAAGCATCGCTTGCAGCACGTGCCGAAACGATGGGGGTTGCAGCAGCAGAGCTGGCGAGGAGGGTAGCGATGAAAGTCTTGGAGAACATGTTGATTATTGTTTAAGTTGGTATGTATTACTGTAAAGTGATGTTTGGTTGATTGATTGTTGGATGTGAAGATGTGATGTGTTGATGATGGATTCCTATCGAGGACTTCTTCGACATTTATATATTCAGATCTTTCCCAATTCTCTCCTTTCATTCCATGAGAATCCATCGTTCAGCCATGACTTCATCCTTAATCGCCAACACACACTAAGATTGCCCGCAGCCCATTAAATCTGGAGAAAGTATGGATACTTTCTTGCACTTTCTCCAATTTGATTGGTGCGGAAGATTGCATCAACAATTCTCCTTTCTCCTTTCCTCACGATTCCGCAATGAGGCTTGAACAACTTCAACATGACTCCATAAATTGTTCGTATTGAAGACTTGGCATGGCTGTTGATATCCATCATCGAAATCAGCAACTAAGTTGCGACCCTGATTTAAAGTGGATTTCTCCATAAAATTGCAGGCGATGAATGGACGAAAAAGGGGTTTAAACTTTACCCTTCAATCTCGGTCAGAGGGCATTTTCATGCCCTATTAATAAAGTTTGATCGTTAGTATGTTTCCAGAAATATGGTAGAATAAAATGGATAAGCTCCAGAAAAGATGAATATGATAATTACCATACTCTTTTCACACAGCCACTTCTACATGAACAAGGTTAAAGCTCCGAGCTCTGCTGAAGAAAGTTGACAAATGCCAAGCACAAATTATCAGATGCCGAAAGCCTGAGTATTGCTTGTGCTCCGCGCTTCGGGGGGACCAAAGCATTAATTTTGACTGCCGATCAGTGACGACGATCGTCACTATTTGTTCGTATTCCGAAAATAGATCTCGGGTTGTATTATTCCATCATAAAATCATAATTCAATTGATGACTTGTGATCTAGCTATGCACAAAAGGTGCAAGGGTACGCACGAGTACTGGTGATAATAAGGGAAAGTGGCAGCAAGCACTAATAGAACTTTAGAAGAATCAATTCAGAGGGTCCATAATTTTATGACTTTTCGACGGTCCCGAAAAGCTGACAAGGTGACTTGTTTGTCGATCATGGCCGCATTCTCATGTTTGTTAAAGGCGAGCTCAACAAGCGCTTTGGACATTGGATGAGACAACAGAACTGCGACTTGGATTTAGACAGCGAAGAATCAGGAGATTCTCGTATTTCTCAATTCTAGCCAAATATTTGACAAAGAATGTCTCTCGTGTTGTGTTTTTAGTACTAATTCGATATCATCTATGTCGGTAACTCGGTGTAACTGCAAAGTCACTGACGCAGGTGTAAGGAGATCAGAATTTCAAATAACAAACTGTTCGTGATCGAGGGAACTTGATAATTGTATCTGGGATCGTAACACGAAGTTTTCCCCGTATCTGTCTTCTGAGTTGTATCAAAGAGCTACAGTCTGACGTTTCCGCTGAGAAATGAACGATGTGTTGGCTAAATCCCGTATTCACTTCTCTCGGGCACCAGGGAGGGGGGGAAGGGGGTTAACCACTGGATCAGGAGGACAACACTTTGATTGATACGCAAACGGAGAAACCGCGATATTGTACGATGGATCGAGAAGATAGCTATAGGAAGTTAAAACAAGAGCAACAACGGTCATACAGTCTTCAAAGATTGGGCTTTCGTTGATCGTGAGTCTTGAAAGGCTTCACTCCTGTTATCTTACGGTATCATCTCGGGATGGAAATAAATTTTGATCATGCCAGCAGCTGTTTCTCCAAAAGATTGTGATCTTCATTGAACCAGCGACTTCAATAACTCATTATCGGCGATTCATCTCTTGCCCAAAGCTCCCGTGCTCAATTATTTTTCGCTACTTCTGCCGAGATTTCACCCAATATTCCTTGTGCTTGACACATCAACATTGTCTACATCTAGTACCTACCCAGTTCTCCAAAAAGATTTTAAATAGCAGCTCACACCGACTTCTTCGTATATGCGCTGTTTTTCGATAATGGATCTTGTCTCTCGAAGGCTGATCGAACAAGCAGTACTCCCACGAATAGGAAACTGCTGCTACTCGCCGTTGACGGGAACTTATGAATCCTTAATCCAAAATTCCACGGCCAGGCTGACTAGCAACAGCAGAGTTAAAAGATACGGACCATTTCGTCACGAACCAATACAGCTCGAACGACAATATGCTTCCATCGAAGCGGCAGCAGACCTGCTCTTCCAGGTCAAAGTAAGAGTGGAAATTCTCTCAAGCATTGAAGCTTGAATTGAACTTAAGGGGCAATGAAAGGTGATATCTTCAATGCGGCGGGAGACAACTAACTGGTTGCGACACCGCTCAAAAACTCACAATGAAGCATCATTAAAGAATTTTCGATAGTTTCAATAGACATTACATGTCTTCTTTGAAGCGGATTATTGTATAAGTCTCTATATCAAAGTCCAACGCTCACATACGACCATAGACTGAGGAGAATTGGGCATCCCGTCCGCTCTGCCAGCCACAAGCCTCAGATCGGTGGATTAGTAGTTGGGTGGGTGACCACCAGCGAATCCCTACTGTTATATGTGATTAAACCTCCATTTTTTGCCTTTCAGAATTTAGCAAGTGTCAAATACATTATATCCTGCTTGAATGCCGTGGTTTTGAATGATCTGACTGACCGGTCAAGCTTCGCTCTCAACTTCATGGTTTTGCGGTGGAAATCTTAGGTGACAACTTTGACTATCTCATACATTGCTCCTTATTATGAAAGTTAGATACCTAAAAGAACACCAAGAATTCGATACCTTCCGCTGTTTTTTGGCTTACTCTTGATATTGATATACGAGGCAAAACAATCACATCGGATAACTCGATTCTTTCACTCAGTCTACCCCCATCCAGTTCATTCTCACTCAACTTATCACTCTTCGGTTCACCTATGTTGATGTATCTATCTGTAAACTGACAATATTGAAACGGGGTATAAGACAAACGCCAATCAGAGGCATTTGTACTTTATATACATGAAACACGAAGTAAAGACCCTAGTGCACAATCAATAACGGTCTTCTGCATTTCGTATCGGGTGATAATCCCAGCTCGAAGAGCAGACGGGGGAATTAGAGGCACAGCAAGTAAGCACTCCTATAAAAGATGGTATAAAACCCTTTATACCTGAAAGCTTCAAACTTCGTTGCTTGTGGAACTTATGCCGAAAGACAACGATAGAAGAAATAAAACTTGAAACCAGAAGTACACTGCCAACTGTCAATCCAGCAGTTGTAGCACCGTTAAAGTGTGGAGCTGGGACCACTTCCCCAACTAGTACCTGGTCCAATTGAAATTGATGTTGGCATTGAATTTAACGTTGCGGTTGGCAATGCAGATCCGAACACTACATTAGCCAGAGACTATGGAATTTGATGTTTGTTGATACAAGCCAGCGCATGCACCTTTGGCATTTGGGTCCTGCGCATATGTTAGTCAACTGACAATTTTGGTTTCATGCATGTTGAAACTTAGAGATTCAGAAAGTTACAGTGGAAGTAAGCTTAATTAATTGGCCGCCGTGGCTTGCTTGTTTGCGGTTTCACCCACAAGATATGCTAGAAGTGAGAATCAACCAAACACAATGCGGACCAAGTGGCAATGGATTGACTCCAAACAAACTCGGATTTCTAATCATTTGAGTTAGATTCTGGAAAACTCTGAGAAACTCTGTCTGTTCATTCGCTTCTTTCGTGGTTTCGTTAGGGTAAGGCAGTCATTGCAGCATATCTTCTTGCATGAGTGAAATCAATCTGTCTCTCATTTAAGATATCTTTGTGTGTTTTCCCATCTTACATTGAGGTAGGACTTCGAGTGTTTTGCGATCGATATGAATAGTACCGTACTCATTCGCAAAATTGGCTGAACGCTAATTAGGATGATTAATTTTAGAGCCAATTGGCTTCCCTCTGAATAAAGTTAAAAGCTGGAAAGTAGAAGTATCTAACAGAAATCCCAGACATTCGTTTACCACAACCCTATTCCACGATGAGCTTAGATAATCAATACTTACTAACCTTCAATAAGTTTTGCCAATTAATACGCTAGTTACAGTTTGAATTTTAGACCCAGAAAGCCCACCTCGTAGGTTCAAAGTGTGTGATCGTCGATGCGGCTGATGCTTATTTCGAGTGACGTCTACCCTTGTATGCAAGCCACAAGCCATCAAACTCAGCAGAAACGAATCGGTAAATCGAGTGTAAGATTGTCATTCGTATCGAATCCAACGCTAAGTGAAAGGTTTCAAATTATGCTATTGAGTATCTTCGGCTACCCTATTCCAAGTTTCGTACTTCCATTAATAGTTTGCTTGGTTCTTTGAACCGCAATACTTCGACGAACATTCTCTGTTCATTCTGTCTTACATTTCACTGGTTTTCCCCAAGCGCAAGTCCCAATGTTGGTTCAAGAAAATACTACCAAATTGATATATCTTGAGGGTGATCGTAGTTGAACGCCCAACCCATCGCATCTCCAAAATTGTACTGAGCATCAGTCATCTGTAAAGTTCATGAGTAACTACAATAACTACACTGCAATTTGTTTTAGTGAGCCGGCTAAACTTACCATAAAATCCCATCCCCCCATCAACTCAGTCGGAGTAGCTAGCGACATCTTACTCAAACTCTCCGTCTCATTTAATCCATGAGTTGCCATTTTTTCAAGTATTTCTGCACATTCATCCACAGCTCTTTCTGCAGCGCTTACTATTGAAGCTGCAAGTTCTTCTCCAACCTGACTTTGTCGGAGGGCATCGATATGTGCAATTGCTAAGCAGATGAACAGGTATCCTTTCATATTAACCTCTCCAGCTTCAATACATCTCATGTGCCAAGTTTTGGCATCTTGTAAGGCGTCAAGAAGATCTGGGCGTAGAGAGATAGGTCCTAGACTTGTTTCTTCTTGAAGCTGGGTCTTGATTTCCATAGCAATTATGAACCCGGCTTGTGTCGCCATGGTACGAAGTAATCCTGAGCCACATATTGTAAGTCGGGAAAGATACCGCTGACTATCTTCGAGAAATTCTTCGTGTGATTGGGATTCATCATTTGACTTGGTTGAATACACCATATACCAAATTTTGAGTGAAGTCTCCAAAACTACCTTCCTAGAGGACGTATACGTAGGGGATTGCAAAGCCGATACGAAAAATGGAATGTGGAGGGATGAGAGGTATCGTAGCATTATGATATTCAGCATGTCTATTCCAAATTGAGGGGGTAAAGGCCTATTGGTTGAATTAAACTCTTGAATATCCTGACACAAGGCTTTGTAGCAAGATCTTAGATCTGTATCAAGCTTGGTAGCTTCCTCAAATGTATTAATTGTGCTGCAATCGTTCAATGACTTTGCGATGGCCAGTCGAAGCGGAAAAGTCTTGCGAAGTATGATTGCGAGAGAAGTTTGACTAAATTCATTCTCTGGCCGAGGTAGAGCATCAGTACTCAGAAGTTCGTCGTCGTTGAAGTTTGCAGGAGACTCAGTGTCCCAGTCGGTAAGAGACATGAGGGGAGGTCCACCAGAATCCATACTTGATTGCAACATCAACTCTAATATCGTATTCCATAATCTTCGTCGCATCTCAGCAGCAAAAACGGTCTTCTTTGGAAGATAAGAGGGATCTTTGTGCAACCCCATGTGTACCGCACTTCTAAACAAGGAGCCAGCCGAAGTCCAAATTAATCTCCCACCAATGTTGATTGTTTCTCGAGCAAACAAAAGTAAAATTTCGGTTTGTAGTGATTTTATAGTCAATCTTGACTTGAACTCCGGTTCCGAAATCCATGTCTGCGCCTCATAGACCCATCGGACAGCTGAAGCACGAAGGGAAAATTGATCATCAAATGTAGCAGAGCCAATAGCAAATATCAATCTGAGCTGAACCAAGAACTCTGTATCGGGGTTTCCAGTCGATGTCCATATTGCTTCATAATTATTTTTGAAGGTAGGAATATGCAAAACCCTGTGGATGGTTTCAATTGTCCGGAGATAACAATCAACTAGTATGTCAGCAGTTTCTTTTAAAGGTAAATCAGGCCAAGTTGGTGGTGAGGGCCATAACGGTGCTCGTCGGGTTTTTACAAGCTTTCCAAAAGTTTTGCATTTGTGTAGACCAATGGCGACCTTCGTTCCTTCTTGTATATGTGGCTCAATCATTTCAAAGAGGTCGTGGTACTGTTGATTGTTATTTAATAAGTCGTTGGTCATCTGATTTGGTTATTGAGTTATCTTACCCCAGACACACCATTTATCCAATGACTCTGGCCTAACAGTCTGGTTTTATGTAGAACGCCATAAGTCTCAACCGCAGGATGATCTTGGCCAAATGGTCGAGATTCTTTGTGTATGTGAAAGCTTCCAGCCAGTGAAGTTTTCGTCTCGATGTTAGAAACTACAGATGTTACAGGGGAAGGTGCAGGTTGAGAGAGAGCAGGAGACGGAACGGATGATTTGGTCGCAAGCGAAAGCTGATCTTCGAGTTCTTTGATCCTTTGCCTCATGAATTCAAGATCACCACTTGGATCTGAGATTGGTGCAATGAATTGATTCGTTGGTGATGATGTGATAGAATTATTTGATGTCGGTGGTGCCGGATGTGATGGAACCCCAAGTGTTAAACCCCTTTCTCTTTCCGAAGCTGGCTCATCGGACATGACATAATTCTGTTTATCGCTTGAATTCCGTCCATTTTGGTCATGTTGAGCACGGGAAGACCTGGGGAATTTTTCATATACACAATTTGATGTGGTTCTTGATCTCACACAATTGCTACATGGAAGAGTTCGATTGCATTTGATCTTGCGTCTCCTACAAAAGGAGCATGAACTGCAATTCTTCATATATCAGTTCGGATATTTAACCACAAACGAGAAAGTCTGTGGGTGACTTCAACATACACGGCTGGTCTTCTCCTTCGACGTTCTTGTTCTTGTTCCGGTTCTAATTCAGGTTCGAGAGCTGACATGACAACAAATATTCACCGCTGGACCCAAGATATCAATTTGTTTTTTTATCGACAGCAGAAATTCATCAAAAAGCTTCACAATTATCATGCTTTCGAAAGAGTATAGGGAAACTTCATGGAAAGGGGAGCGGGAAATTCATTTCATATTTCAAGTGTCAACTGCACTAAAGGTCTGAATTTCTCGCCATTCTCCGAGAAAAATTGGTATTCAATTGGCTGACTATCTCCGCTCACGTGATAAAGATATACATATCTCCGTCAACCCATCATCATCCATTGAGATGATGTCGCTGTTGTCTATCATCACAGATGAGGTTTGTATTTGTAGCGAACTTCTTTACATTCTGGCTCCAGCTTCTTTAAAACAATCTCCAAGAATTCAAGAATTAAGGCTTTCAATGGCACTTGGACCATGAACGGTCACTGTTTCAACTTTGCATTGTCGATCTCAATCTCGGTACTTGAGTTAGGTAGGTTAAGCATTAGGTTAAGCATATTGTAACGACTGCTGTGCTCAAAGAATAGCGTTACCTACGGAGTTAGAGTTACATATATATGAGAAGACTAGTTTTTGTCTCTCTCTAATTGAGCTTCAGTTGTTTGTCATTCCCCTCGGAAATTCAATTTTTCTCAAACACACTCGGTGTATCAATGGATCAGAGCTTCCCAACGTCTGGGGCATTTTAAAATTGATCCGGCCACAAGTAGAGTGAGTACATAGGAAGCGTCAGAAAAACACTAGATTTCTATTTGGGGATTTGCTTTGGTCTTCACAACCTCCACCAACAATTTTCTGTGCTAAATGTTCACATGAGATTTCAAATTGGTCATGAATTGCTTCAAGATTCTATACAGCCGTTGAGCCGGGATTTCTTCCCATGTTGTTTTAATCATATTGTGAGTAAACGTTTGCAGGAATAACCATAAGCCTAGTAATTCCCGTCAACTTCATATTGTTTACTAGTCAATCGGTGCGACCCATCAACCCCACAATTCTTCATCTCTGTATTCCTAGGTAGTGTTCACTTTGGAACGTTTAAATGTTGCCAGCTTACCGTTCTTGGCCAAATTTCGAGGGTACAGGAATCTAGAACCGACAGGATATCCTCCAGGATATCGTGATCTGGGGTACATGCTGTACGAGTTTAGCCAAAATTCGGTATTGCCATGTCGGATATCAGCCTCAATACGTAGTCACCTGCTAGCACTACGTGGTGAAAGAGCACTCATAAATTTCTCTTCTATTAATTTGGATCGTCTGAACTGTAAGTTCCCTTTATGCGTTCCCCTCTTCTGTTCTACTGTTTTGGGTTCGCATAATTCTTAGCCTGAAATCTTAAGACGGACTTGGCAATCTACATGAATACTTTATTCGGCTGTCAAAACAAACCCCGGAGCAGAGATGAAATGATGGCTATATGATCATCATTATGTGTCAAAAAGCTGAATGTCATGGCTAATATAAATCGGCGGAAAGGAGGCAATTTTATTGCGAAGAATCAGAATGAGTTTCCTGGTCTTTAAATAGATCCATATTCGCACTTCACATTAGTCCTCGAATCTTCATCCAAAGTATCACCATCTGCTACACAACATCAACAACGGCATTCTTTTAGCACTCTCACTCATCCAATCTTCAGCATGTTTTCAAGCACGACACTCAAAGCAGTATTTCTATCTCTCCTTGCCTACGCTTCAGCTCTGCCTTCTGAATTGGACACCCGCGCAGCATGTCCTGAAATTCACATCTTTGGTGCTAGAGAGACCACAGCACCAGCAGGATTCGGAACCGCAGGTGTGGTTGTCGACCTCATCCGTGCTGCTCATTCTGGGGCAACTGCCGAAGCCATCAACTATCCCGCATGCGGCGGTCAATCTTCGTGTGGTGGAGTTAGCTATGGAAACAGTGTTGTTGCAGGAGTTTCTGCCGTCGCAGCTGCAGTGAATAAATATAATACAGATTGCCCAAGTACTAAATTGGTATTGGTGGGGTATTCCCAGGTATATCACCTTTTCTTGCCGTGTCATTTCCTTGCCCATCATCCAAATCTAGAAATTTGACACTAATTTGTAAATTAGGGTGGTGAAATAATGGACGACGCGTTCTGTGGAGGTGGAGATGCGAATAACGGACTCACGAATACCGCAATTCCAATTCAAGCCAGTGCTATCAACATGATCAAGGCCGCAATTTTCATGGGTAACCCACGCTACATTTATGGACTTTCTTATGAGGTTGGTACCTGTAGAGCTCATGGAGTAAGTCTTTCAATCCACACCTCCCTAGTTGCTTATGTGACTACACTCATACCTTTGAGTATTTGCGAACAATGTCTTAACAATTGTTTTAGTTCGCACCTCGTCCCTCTGGGTTTTCTTGTCCATCCGCTTCAAAGATAAAGTCTTATTGCGACGCTGCTGACCCGTACTGCTGTACTGGTTCTGATGCAAACACCCATCAAGGTTACGGTACCGAATATGGTCAACAAGCCTTAACATTCGTAAATGCACAACTCGCTTCATCTGGTACGTCCCCAACTACTACTCCATCTAGCCCCGGTACCACAACTACCATTACCTCCCCTGGATCCACTGGAGTCGCGCATTATGGACAATGTGGTGGAACTGGGTATACGGGTAGTACAACTTGTGCTAGCCCATATACGTGCACTTATGCAAATGCTTATTATTCTCAATGTCTTTAGGTTAATTTTTTCACTACCTTTCTTTCTACATGTCTTCTTTCATTGGATACGAAATGGAAATTCATGGCTCGGTTGGAATGAAACGCAACGGTATTTCATTTGTACTGTATCTCACATCCCGAACTGCAGTCCGATCTCCGACTTTATTTCATTCATTTGGGCTTCGATGAATCCATCGTTCCAAAGAGATTCAACATTTACGAGATTTCCAATCTCCAAAATCAGATTATTTTTATAAAGAGTTTGATTGTTCCAGAGTTCCATATGGTGAACTTAGACAACAGTCTGCACACTTGGAAACACTGCCCCTCTATTCGCTCGCATCTTCCAGGTGTATCCAGGCGAATACATGACCCTCGGTCACTACACTTGAGTTCACCCCCCCAATAAGTTTAATACTCCATCTCCAGCCTTCCTCCCAAAAATAACACATTCCAATAATGAACTCCCACCCAGCCTATTATCCCCATGAATTCCTCCAGTAACTTCGCCTGCTGCCCAAATTCCCCGAATCACGTCCCCTTCTGCTGTCAAAAGCCTTGCTTGCTCATCAATCCTCACCCCTCCCATCGTAAAATGAACCGCAGGAGTGACGTTTCCTACGTATATTACCGAATCGGGTTTTACGTCATTCAGTTTCCAGCATCCAAAAGACTTCCTACCAAACTCATCCTTCAACCTCTTTGCTACGGTGTCTGCATACCTCTGCAAACTCCCTATGGCATCTTCTCCAAAATTTTCTTCCGCAATAGTACATTTCCTCATCAAACCCTTCCACAAATAAAAGTCAACATGTGATTTTGTCTTCTCATACACCCCCTGATCAATCACAAGCTTCACATCCCACTGTCTTGGGTGTCCCTCACTCCCTAAAATTTCACCAGCTTCCATTATTTTCCCAGTAACAATCTTTCTCGTCTCTAACTCATCTACAAATCTCCTCCCACCCATCAAAAGCACACCGCCCTCGCCTCTCAACATTTCCGCTGCTAGAAATTTAGTCGGATTGTTGGTATCTTTCATATCCACAAATGCAGTAGGATGGATTTGCACTTTCTCCATATCGATAAGTCCAGCTCCAATATCCGAGAGAAGTTCTTGAGACCCGGAACGTAGGTCATTGGTGGAGGGAAATCCGGATAAATCAGGTCGATATCGCGCTAACATCCCATATGCATCGCCTGCGAACCCGCCAGTTGCGAAAATCAGAGGGCCTGTTAAAACTTCGACTTTCTGTGCTTTGTTTTCATCTTCACAAATACATTCCACACCTCTGACATCTTCATCGTTATCATCCTTAATTACTCTGATTACCCTGCACGAAGTCTTGAGATGAAACATGTCGTTTCCTTTCAATTCCTCTAAAAGAGCACCAACAATCGCTGCTCCAGGTGGTTTAGATTTTCCACCTCCTCTATGCGTCCTAGCAACACTGTGTCCTCCCAATTGAGCAATGACACTAAGATCCACGCCCTTACTGCCCAACCACTCAACAGCTCCCTTGGACTCCTCACTTAGTACCCTAATCAAACGCTCCCTTTCCTTTCTCTCCCCTTCGCCGCCAACGCGCAAAGCTTCCGCTGCTGACTTGATCGAATCATTATAAAACGTCTCGACGCTATCTACAATGGGGGGATTCGATGCAAATTGAAACGATGTTCTTGCACCATTTATTCCAGAAGAGGCTTTTATGCTATTTCCTCCGGTTCGACTTGCTTGTTCGAGAAGATAAACTTTGATATCATGACTTTGTGAGAGAATTTGGGAGGAGGCAGCCAAACCAGCTAACCCGGATCCAATTACTATGGCCACTTTTTCACCACTTCGAGAATACCATTGGGCCATGCTGAAGTAAAACTGGTGGGAAATAGACAGTATGTATTTCAAAAATAAAGAAATTATGATTATGGGAAAGATAGTAGGGAGTTTATGAATTAAGTTCATGGATAGGATGGAAGAGTCGATTTCCTTAGTGCAGATATTGACGTTGTAATGAGCGGCTTTGTATTGATGGGCTAGATATAAGACCACTTTTTTGTTCATGTCATACGATTCTTAACGCCTGTGAAATCAGGTGATTTATGCATATATCTGTCGAGTTGCACGAACCCATGTATGGGATTAGAAATGTAGGAAGGAGTATGACAACGAAAGTGATATTTAGAGATTGGTTCCGATGGCAAGCATATCATTGAGGCAGAGTGCACTTAAGTTTAATGGCAGCATTTAAAAGGCCACTGCATGATCAAACAGTAGATCTGACTGTCAGTTTTGATGTTTTGATGGCTAATGATTCGGGATGCAATTCATTGGATATTTCTATGAATAGAACCGATGATGCAATAATTGAAAAACTCATCGGCACACTTGTACCAGTAGGAATTCCATACATTTTCAAGCAATTGGATTCTAAGAATCGGCTATTGTGGACTCATCAAAGTGGAAAGTAAGCAGACAGTTCCATTGCAAAGGTTGAAGTAAGATGGAAACATCTAGTCATCATGTACAGCATATACATTCATGTATCAATCGATCTCCGATTGCTCCATCCTACATGCTTCCATAAACTGTTGATGCCCTTTCCCCAGACTCATCAATTATTTTTGATGAATCTTTAGAACGTGGGACCATCGTGGAGCTCAATGAGCTTAGGAGGTATGCTGGGATTCAAACTCGCCCAGCCTGCCAGCCATGTAGCAATCTATACGCCAAACATTTGTACTTATCCAACACTGGAGAAGAAACCGACGTCCAGTCAGAAGAATTCATCCAGCAGTCCCCCAAAATGCAAATGAAGATACGATTTTCTCAATCTTCATATTGAACATAAAAAGCACGCCGGATATCCATTATTGACGCCATTATTTCCACCACCCCAGAGCCCTAGAAACATATTCGCACCCCGTTACCCACATGATATCGTGACAGCCGCTGAACGAAGAAGATTGATGTATGGCATATGATCATGATCATCATGCCTTGAGATCGAAATGTGAAGGGAGAAACGAGGAGATGATTGGAAGCGTCGTTTTTCACTTTGAAATAGTCGTGGCTCAGAGGAATTATTTGAAAGACATTGTTTTCATTTTGTTCCTGATTGTACATCTTAGACAGGAATGTTAGGTCCCGTCTTCTTTGTTGCCGTGTTGATCAATGCGGCTAGACCGATCATAACAATGACGGCCACGATGCAGATGAGAACAATTACGAGTGTCTGAAGCATTTTTGCGAAACTTGATGTTTTGTTACAAGATGGAACCGATGAGGCAAAGTCGAGAAAGGTAGGTGCAAATTGATTGTGGTAATGTGAGGATGTGAGGATGTCGCGATCTTTGGAAAAGACTGTAGATCTAGATGGCTGTTAGCAAATTGATGATAATCTTGTTGTTTCCAAAGCTTGGAGCTTTATCAATCACCCCGCCAAAACAGACAGTTAGTTAGATGAGAATTGAAAATAAATGAGTCGCTAGCACATACTCGCGTACTCTATATTGACTTACCAACTAAGATAAACCCTTCAAAATGTGAAGTTTGAATTCAAATGTCTGGTATGATGTAGCTTAAATGAACGAAAGTGAGGGAAATGGTGACCTTTGGATTGATTTGCGAAGATCTTCAAAGGGTGCCCACGGCTACTTATTGAACCTATAACCACAAATAGTATCTATCGACTTGCAAGGTTTAGTTCATCTGATACCCGTAAATCCGTCTCTAATACGAGGTTGTGGCTTGCTGTCAGTGTAAGGAGACCCAACTTTTCGTGAAGCTTTGTAGAAAAAAGAGTTCGTTCGATTAGATATCGGTTGGCAATTGTGGACAATCTGTGAACCCCACAGGAGATGATATGGTACTTGGTCTAAGTGATGCGAAAGTTGAAAATGGTGGTGTCTTGTATTGTATTCAGAGATGAAGATTCAAATTTCTTTCGAAATGAATCGATTCCGCGTATAGAATCGATCCCTACGTGAGATCCTTTGCGAGCCAACCAACCAACACAACCAACTCATCATCCTAGACCCTGTGGCGATGTCAAAGTTTTGACGAATTGGACGCGTTGATTTGTTAGACTCATCACATTTTTTTCATTCTCTTCCACTTCCATCTGTTCTGGAGCAAGGTAGTTACTACATGGCGTTAAAGCCATGGAAGCTACCGGCATAGTTTGTTTTTCTTACGGACAAGGGACTTGTTGGTAAACAAACAGAAACGAGTATACGAAAGTTTCTTTACTTTGGAGGCATTGATGCCGGAATCCCCGGAAATTCAATGCAGATAAGTACGTATACACGTGGTATACAAGCGGTTTCAATCTTAATGATTGCTTCCGAAGTCCGAATCACATGTTCCTTTGCTTTATACTTCAAAAAATCATCAAACACGAAACTTCAAGTAAGAGACGTGATGTCACTTTGAGACATTGGAGGAAGAGTTCGGAGTAATCCCTGAACTGATCACTGTTGGCTGCTCTATTTTCGGATTCCCAAGACGTTGAATCGATTGAGAATTCTAGGCATTCTTTGTATTCAACAAAAACCTACAGGTATTTATCTACATCATAAACAGAAGGGATGTCTATCACAATAAGAATCTTGACTCGTTTCTTGCAACTTCTGCTGAAGTCGTAACCATAAGATTCATGGTGTTATGGTAGCGCCTATCCTTGAAAATCAGAATGAGAATGGTCTGTGTGTTCTGAAGTGCTGGCCTTGGCTTGCATACCTGAAGGCCATCGAAAAATAAATTTAGAATCAAATCTGCAGTTCAATAGGTTTTCGAGTGAAAATAAATTCTGAGGCTAGAATATGTGATCTCCCGCATTTTGAGTTCTGGCTGCTTTGAGTTCACTTCATCTAAGCGGAACAAATGAAGGGGTAAATGAGCAGTTCAAAGACAAACCATCTTTTTAAAAATTCTTGCTGTCAGTCCACCAATTTCCAAAAATTTCAATCCATAAGTTAAACAATAAATTAGACAACAGTCATACTCTTTTCATTTAACCCAACAATCCGTCTCCTACTATCCACATCCTTCCTCTAGTTTTGACCAAACCCCCAAGTCGCCATCCCCACAAACCCTTGTCTACTTCCCAAATTTGTCAAATTGAATCTCTGGACAGTTTTTCCACCCGATGTCTTGATAACATTGATCTCCGACGCACTCTTCAGCACGTACAAAAAGTCTCCTCCAAGCCTAGCATCCAAACTCCCCAGCCCCGCATCATCTTGCTGGATCCCCTTTTTGATTGCCCCCGTTTTCGCATCTACTACTGTGATGTTAGAAACACCTACGTCCATCAGATAAAGTTCTCCTCTTTTCCTATTGTATTCTGTCCAACAAACTGCTGACTCTCCAGCAACAGTAATCGGGACATCTGACGTTACAATAGAGGATGACGAAATAGAAACGAGCGATGCGCCAATCGCAGGATCTGAGACAGCAAGTCGATGGTCAGAGCCGAGAAAACTTATGCCAAAGTTCAAGCGGACTTGTGGAGGCTTGGAAATGATGGGAATACTGGAAATGCTATTGTCGCTTTGGGAGACAGAATAGGCGATGAATGAGCCTGGAGCAAGCCCGTTACCTTTTACGGACGCTAAGAGGGTGGTTTGAGAGGGGTTGAAGAGAAGATCCGAGACAGTCCCGGCAGGTCCGACGGGTGGGGTCGTTCTATATAATTGGATTAGATGAGTGAGAATTGGAGAAGGAGTGATGCGTACTGATTCAAGGCTATAGGTCGGAAAGATCCAATGGCTAATAACCCTTTGCTATAGTGAGTCAAGAAGCAAGATATTCCTGCTACGGCACCGCCATTTAGTACGCAAGCTAAGGGATAATCAGCAACTCGCTCTTGTATGTGAATGGTTCTATCAAGAGGTATCCGAGGACTCACCAGTCTTGAGTTTTGGCGAATAAGCAACGGCGACTGGGAATTCTCCCATGGTATCCACCGGTCTACCAACCATACGCGGATGTAAGAAATCGTTCGAGTCAATTGAGAACATAGCCAGTGTATTACTTCCAGTGTTGACCGTGAAGAGCTTCTAGTTCATATCAGTTAAAGTTCGTGAGCCAATTCTCTTATATCTTGGAATTTGCTTACGTCTCCTGATACAATTATGGAGTTCTGACCAAACAAAGTATCTACATCATAGAGTCAGTATAAACATCCTTTTCAATGTTGTTTTGAATTTGATTCACACCTTTATCTCCAGGTGCAGGGGCTACGGTTGAGTTTGCTGCTGGAGCATTTAAACCGAGCATCCCTTTTCCTCCAGTAGAAGTTCGAGTAGGTAGGGAAAGAGTTCCATCCTCTCGGGATATCCTCATAGCAATAATGGTCGAGCCATTGGGATTATTGTCAAGAAAGTATGCTGCTGCGTCTCGAGAATGATGTCGAGTGATTGTCGAAGCTGCAAGAATGATGGGAGTGAGGAGAAAGGTTCGAAAGAGATGCATGGTCAAGGTCGACCTTGGGGTATGTTAATCTGTTGTAGGGTTGATCCTGATAGGGGAGATGCAGGGGAGATTATTGAGATGCCGAGCTGTGTAGGATGGTTTGAAAGACAGAAAAGGATTCAGAGTCTCGGGACTACGTCCTTTCAAACTGTAGCGACTTGGGTTAAATGTTGCTTATAAGTTGTGAATGAGAATCCAGAGTTGATTTGAATTTGAAAAGAGAAAAGAATTGTTAAAGGCCGTTTTGCGGTCACTTAATATATCATCGCAAATCACACTGAGGTGCTTTTTCACCCTCGCAATTTTCGTCTGATTTCCAACAGCTTGCATGGTTTTCATACTTACTCTGCAGAGTTACTTGTTTCCATAGCCTGGTCATTTTAATGATGATCTTACTCTTTTAAATCAGCTTTTATGTGAGGAATATCGCATCAAGTTATTGTGATTCCAAAGTTTCATGCTGCAGAAGCCGATTTACTATTGATATTGGCATCTTGTGTATACATACCATGGTGATAGGACGATTTCACATCAAAAAATGGCTATCCTGCAATGATTCCAAAGCATTGTTGAGAATACAAGTGCTTACTACGTTTGAAAATCGCGAAGGATGACGGATTAGGCTAACACGTATTAGGAAATAATGTTTCCATTGTTCGCATGACTCCAGCCACACCATAAAACTTGGAAGACGATTGATTCACGGAGATCACAGGCTTCGAGCTTACAGCAAAAATTGTTTTTCGCTGTTTATGATATGGTTTGTTGAATACTTTCTGATAAGGAGAAGCATGCTAATGTGCAACCAACTCGACGACATTGAGCTCTTGTGCTTCGCAATATTGAAAACGAATCAAGGGTTACGAATTCTCCAAATTATACAGTTACTTTCTATCCCTCTACGGCCCCTGTTAATATCTTGCATTTCAAGCACTTTATACATAAGTGTTCGAAGCACAGACATGGAACACTATGCCGTACATCAAAGCCTCGATTGGAATCACAATCCTCTTTTCCCATTTTTCACTCCCGGAGAACGCCTTCACAAGTTGGTATTATACGACAACGAACCACAAGTGTTGGTGAAAATGTGTTCAAAAATAATATGTCATCGCCTCCCGGGAGATATAAGTGCAATATGGGTGAATGATGGTTTGAGTCAAGTTCGATAAAGATCTACGAGGGCAACCAAATCTAGATTTCAGGACTGGCTAGAATATCCAAATCAAGAATATTGAGGTGAGGCGGAGAAAGATGCAGTAATATTTCTGAAAGACATTACGCTGGAGGTTGGAATCGATTCTCTTCAATCAAGCTATTGCCAGTAATGAGTAGGTGATCTTGGAGGAAGTGGCAGAATTTGGGCAGAGAATTCCAAGTATAGTTCGTCCTGAATAGCCTTTGTATGGAATCCCAAGGAGGCTCTCATGATAAGATTGACTTTATCCCATTTTCACTTTCTTCAGAGTATTAATACTGGAAGCTGGTTGTCCAGTAGAATGGGGAACAGTATTTATATCGAGAACTTTCCCATAGAAAAATCTAACGTAATTTCGTCCCAGCATATATTTTGTATGCATCGGCATCATATTGATCCAATCACACTTTTTATCAGCTTGTCCTACTCCTTTCTTTCCGACATCTCTCTCACTTCTTGGCTATCCCAATCAACTGCTGACCACCCTTCACCGCTGGGCATCAGTTCAATCACGTTCCAGTTCACATCCCGCAGCCTTGTATATATTTCTCCTATTGCTACCCAAAAACTAAGAGAACTAACCCAACAACTGCGACAACAACTCCGACAGCACCCAAAATCTCCACTGTTAGCCTCAGCCTCCCCATCCTCCGCCCTTCACCACTGACCCGTTTCCAATAACTGGAACCTGAGTCACTTTGCATGCCAATCCTAGGAATCATCCCATCATAATCTTCTCTTTCGCCGTCACTCAATAAGCCTTCTTCCATTGTCGTCCTTCCATTTTCGTCATGAGTGTCAGTTCTGTACCCGTGAGTGTTATAACTCGAGGAATAATAGCTCGGGAATCTTGGCTTTGGGAAAAGTCTCCACCAAGCAACTGTAGGGAAGAAAGTTGGGCGAGTAGCGGAGTGTTTTGTAGCTGTTGTTGGAGTAGTGGGTGTGTCAGGGATAGATATTGAAAGTGCGCCTGTTGGCATTTTGTCTTCTTTCAATATAGGAGTATTGTGTTTGGGTGATTCAATGCTTGAGAATGTGCTGAAGTCAATTGACTGTCTCGGTATACTGTTTGAGGTTGTGATCGACGATGGCTGAGATCTTTGAAAAGATTGAGATTAGGAATTGGATGGAAATGGAAATGAGGAAAGACATATTTGATTGATTGGGAAATATATGATTGCCTCCAGAATTGAGAACGAAGCATGAATACCTTTGTTAACTTCTGATTATTCCAATTTCAGTGCACAATAAGTAGCACCACTCCCCAATGCTTTGGAATGTGAGGAATGGAACGTTTTGAGAAAGCATTTTGGAAACACTTTTCTTTGTGTTCGGGAAATAATTTGCGTGCGGGGATTGAGGGACATATTCTCGAGGCTTGGTGTTGGCGGGAACAAAGGAATGCTTCTTATCCTGTCTAAAAACTCTAACAAATATTCCACAATTGTTTTGCATGCAAAAATATTACAAGCAATCTCAGAATCTGGAGCGAATTCAATCTAGAGAGAATTTAATCTAGAGAAACAGTAACAGATGCGCTCGTCTAATCTACTCCAGCTAGACATCCCAAACAAGAGAAAAGATAGAAACATTGCTGCGACAACTATGCCGTAATTGGCTTATGTCCGTTACCAACTCTGGACCATTCTTCCCTCTTTTCTTCCAAGTATTCCCCTTTCTCTATCCATCTAGTTTCCAACCATTTTGCCAATCCTTCGTCAGTCTCTGGCAAGTCCTCCAATAAAAATCGCTTGACTTCAACATGAAATTTGTATCCTCGTTTTCCGCTTAGGTCCCCGCAACTAAGAGATTCCCAAATGGTTGGTGCTTGATGCCATTTATTATGATGTGAATACGCAATCGTCATATCATAAACAGCTTTGACGTGCTTAGCCTTTCGCAGGTGCTGCACTGTTGTGACAAAGCCTTTGGTTCGTGGATACAGAAGGTGCTTGGGGAGAGGTCGATTGTTTTGTTTACACCATGTTTTTGCTTCTTCGTATTTCTTGGGGGTATATCGTGTCGCTTCACTAAAGCTGATGAGCCCTGGATGATAGATAAGTTAGCACTGCCAAATTACCTTAAGTGGGGGTAGATAGCACGCATAGCTTACACTGTGGCCATTTCTTTACTACAACTCCTGCAAAAACTCGATCCAACTCTTTCTTATCCTTCAGCCAATTTCTACTAACCATGGGCATACCCATCCCCCAAATTCCCCATCCAAGTAATGGAACCCATCGCAATTCAATCTTGGCAAACCATCTACACCTCCCAAGCATGCCAGCTCTGATAGCAAGTGCTTGAATCATATAGAAGTCGGTCCAACTGACATGATTTGCAATGACAATCGCGGTTTCGCCTTCCGGAAGAGTGTCGCCAGAAATGGTAATCTTGCCTCCATTGAAGACCTCAAAAATGACTTGGATCCAATTCCAGTTTGTAAAGGCGACGAACGACGACGCATTGTATACCCAATTAGGGAAAAGATAACTGACGGGTAAGAGGAAAGAGATTATGAGGTCCATGAGGACCAATTCGAGGGCCCATGGTAACACAATGAGAAATCCACGAATGCTCGTGTATACAACATCGAGACTCATGGTGGTCGTCTTGAAATTTCATACACTAGGAATGAGGGGCAGACAACACATCACAAGAGAAAATCAAACCTCATTCATTACTTCTGCGTTGCTTACTCATGGAAATATGGAGCTCAGCACACGGGCATCATAAATAACCAAGCGTTACTCAAATCAGTTCCACAAGCTTGGCGTCGAGTGCTTGTAGGTAGATGAGATGCATTTATGGGGATTTGATTTGGGTCGCGTGAGATGTGAGCGCCGATGGAAATGTTCGAGAGGGGACAATAAATTCGATGTTGATCACGTAGGTGGATTCAGGGATGTTGTATACTATATGTGGAGATGCTTTGCCAATCCACCGTTCAATTAACCTTACGAGTAGAAGATCAAGGTCAAGATTTATAACAAACGAGGACGATGGATAGTTTATGAAGAAAGTGAGCATCTTTACATTTTTGGCCGGAGATAGAATCGTTACCTAACTACCTGTACCACTCAAGACTAGGTACGGTACACATAGAAAAGGAGAATATTAATCCAAATGTGAGCATCTTCGACAGTTTTGCCCGGAGATAGATGATTCGACCTCGCGTACAATTCATAATCAGAATTTAGAGCTCACCGGGCATCTCCCAAGCTTGTCCCTAATTTGTCCCTAACTTGTAGCCATGTGAAGTTTAAGAACTTCTCCGTACGACCAGACTATGCAGAAGTGCTCGCCACACCAACTTTACCAATTTTTCCAATCACGGAGTGGCACTTGCCGGAACGACTGGCTTCCGACTTCCCTCCCCTTTCAGCCGTGGCGGTCAACTTCAGCCATCATATATGTTGAACGTTCAAGATGCGTCAATCATAGGTATAGGTACCTATGCATCACGACTGCCATCGATAACCAAATACATCTCTCTCTCTCTCCTATATTTCCCCCATAACCATTCCGACCCTCCTTAAACTCTCAGCCCTGTCGGTATATTGGATGATCTCTACCGGATATTGATGTCTGACCATATGCATCGAGGACAAACTGCTGCCGAATACAACGTCGAGTCCTCTCGGCACTATACCACTTCGTCACTCATCGAGCCCATCGTACGTACATACGAGTAGTCGTAGTCGGAATTACTAGCCAGTACTTATTAATCACGATATCCAAAGTTTCTTATGGAATACGAATTCCTTGGCCAGACCTCTAGCACAGTCCAAGTGCTAATAGTGGATCTACTACCTACCTGGGTAAGATCATATGTCCCGACGAAGTATGTAAGCATACCTAGTGGTGTACCTTCCCCGTCTCGAGAGCCAGTGCGCGGCTGCCGTTTGCGTATTCGTTCTTGATTCTTGACTTATTTCCTGAATTGCTGACCTTGTTTAAGTCCAAAAGTCCTCAATGATCTTCAAGAGAGAGACTTGATCGCGTCGACCAAACATTGCAAAGTCAATATAGAAATACCTACATCATAACGGGGATATCTCTATCGGCCCCGTTCTTTCGATCAATCCAATCATTGAACTTGGCTTTCGAATGTCCATTGCCCCGCGAACAATTTCCAGAATAAAGATTGAAACTGTTGGTCTAACATAATCAATAATCGTTCAATCCAATTTCAGAGAATACTATCGAGTAACTGTAGGTATGCCACGCTGCTAATCAATCAATAACCAACTTGCGACAACCTCGCCCCTTCATTGCTTCTCCGCGCACACCTTAAGATCTACAACAACAACAACAACAACAACGCTGATAAGATAGGCATATCTTTGATTTCTTCTCAACTTTATCAAATTGCGCTACGATGTCTACCGCGGAAACCGAAAATTGCGATTATGCCAGTGGGCAATCAGAAGCAGGAAAATCACCTCTTTCGTCAAGTTTGAGTTTCCTCAAGGGCCTCACTGAAAAGAAGTCTACGCGGGGTATGATTCTCCAGATTCATCCCAACTTATTCCAATTGGAAACTAAATTTCAGAACAGTCGATGGCTCGACACCGAAAAGAAGAGGACCCAAACCCGACAGTAAACCTGCTTTAACAAGGAGGCAGGAATTAAATCGACAAGCTCAGAGGTATGCTGGTATGAGGAATAGGATTTGGACTTTCACTAATCTCTCCTAGAACCCACCGTGAGCGCAAGGAATTATACATCAAAGCCTTAGAGCAAGAAGTATTTCGATTAAAAGAAAATTTTAGCAATGTCACTCAAAGCAAACAATCCCTCGCAGAAGAAAATCGACAATTAAAGAAACTCCTCGCACAACATGGTATATCGTGGAACGGCAGCGGAGGAGTCGACGAATTCACAAATAATCCGAGTTTAGGATATAAATCGAGTGATAGTCAGGCCGGCAGTTATGCGCCAGGCTCTTTATCATTCAGTCCTCCACCTCTAAGCCACTCTTCGAACTCAAATCCGAACAGTACCTATTACGATGCTGGATCACCTCAACTGGGAGGAGCGCACCGATTTTACAATGGAAATGATAGCAGCATGGCGCATCAACCAGTTCAAGGTGTGGATTATGATCAAGCAGGAATTGACTTTGTTTTAACGTATGGCAAAGATTCCTCCAAAACGTTCTTATCGCCTCCCCGACAATAGCTAACGGCAAGATACTGATATCAGACTCGAGAGACCCTGTATGGACCACATGCAGTTCTTAGTCGAACGATCCAGCGATGCTGATGGAGAGTTTTTCTCTGGCCATGCTTTAATGGCTACATGTCCTCCAGAACCAGACATGGAGATGCACCCAGACATACCGTTTGGGCACTGTCTGCCACATAGTCATGAATCAGATGAAATGAATGGGGTTCCTTCAAAACAAAAGACGTGGGACTTGAGCAAGAGCGATCTAGCTAATTTGTTAGATTTGAGTAAGAGGTTGGACTTGAATGGAGAGATTACACCGGTTATGGCATGGGGTATGGTATTGGGACATCCACGATTTCTAGAATTGACGGATGTTGACCTGAAGAACATGAGTGAAGAGCTTTTACCTAAAGTCAGATGTTACGGGTACGTGCGCTTGTTTCTTTGTCTTTATATCAGGTCTGAATGAGCTAACAATTGTAGATTTGGGGCCGCACTCGAGGAATTTGAAGTACGGGATGCTTTGGAGGCTCGGTTCGTGACGGACCCAATCGACGTGTCTCCAAGCTAGACATTCTCTGTCATAGCAATCTTGTTATAGGTTACATTCGTATTCGAGGGTGATTTTTTTAATGGGTGCAGCGCAACCCAGCGCGATGCATGATGTATGATGATTGGGTATTATTAGTGTAGATTATAATCACTCTCATGGAAATATAGATACCCGTTTTTCCTTTACTACCTAGGTACATCATGCTCAGAACGAGCTTCTATGCCGTCTATTCACTATTCATAAAATTTATTTCCAATAAAGTTCTCATTTTCATTGTGCTGTCTCTTGCAGGATCTTGCAGGTGATGAGATTGATCATAAGCTAGTTGTTCCTCTCATTTCCAAGGAAGATTTCCGACACATGAACAGGACCAAATCGAATGACTTGAGCAGATTGCTATTTTGAATACAGTAATGCCTCACAAGATAGCAACGCCATTTGGAGGACTCGCAACACCTCCCGGTACCTTGTCATCTGTTAGCATTGGCATCGATTGTGAATTTCGTTTACCGATATGCATCTCCAAAGTTGGTTGATTTCCAACACATTACAAATGAAATGGCAATCTAATTCACTAAAGTGAAGACAATAAACCATGCTAAGAGAGCTCATGAACATACCTTTAAAGGTACACTGCTAAAAAAGAAGGTCCACTTCTTCAATTGTCTACACTCCTCTCCCAATCGTTCCAAATCAAATAGCTCCCCAATTGGCATTCCCCATCCAGCAAGGAGCCATTCGTGCATCCAGTATTGGTTTGTAAGGTCAAAAGGAAGAGATTCTAGAGCGGGTTGGTCTCCAGCAGCAGCGGAGAACTCATGACTCCATAGCCATTCTAGTACTTCCGGGCAGGCCTCAAGGCCTATTGCTGTCATTTGGGAAGCGGTGGCGAGGGTAGCCGCTTCGGAAGAAGACAGAGCTTCAACTGAACAAGACGGGAGAAGCGTTAGTATTCTATATGATACAAATAGACCTGGGGATTAATGGCCAATAGTCTGGATTTGTAGACTGGGTTGAAGATTTCGATCTGCAAAAGTTATTCTAATTGGATTTAGAAACTCAAAGCATCTTATTTGATTTCCGGGTTGAAATCCAGACTATTGGAAATCTCGGATTCTATATCAATTTTATCAGAGTATGGAAAAGACTTACAAGCACGAAGGTAACCAGTACGAATAAAGAGGATGTCACCTGGACGGAATGTGACATTTTGAGCTTCGGCCACAGCTTTGATCTCAGATAGGGGTATTTTGATTGTTGTTAGAGGGTTGACAGTACGACCTTGGGACTCGGCCCAGTATGCGTAGTCAAGAAGGACACCACGACCTACTATGCCGCCATTTTCTACCCAGACTACAAGCAGAGGCTGTCAGCAGGTGAACCGTGTGTATAGGGGCCTTGTGCGAGATTACGTGCCGTCAATTCCATTTCGTGTTGAATTGTGGATTTCTTCTTGGGTGCACCCATTAAAGTAAACCTTCCCGTCTTGATATCCTGTATAAATTCTCCAATTAGAGTCATTCACCAATTTTCGAATCTGTTTTTAAAGAACCAACCAAAGTGTCTAAATCCATCCCACTGGCTACTACTTTGTGTATTCAATACCAGCACGTCATCATTCACAGTTCTTGGACTTTTATGTATGATTTTTTGTTCAAACTGTACACGTCCAAAGCAGGGAACTTTGGGTTTGTCTAAAGCCCAGTCGGTAGATATTCGAAAGCCGTATTTTATTTCCTTGGCAGCTTCAATGGTGTTTTCGGGAGTGAGACGGTTGAGACATCCGAGCTGGTCGGTAGGGCCGTGTAGACCCCATGCATTGCCGCGGGGGCCACTGGCTTGGAGAGGGAGCGAGGAGAACGATGGGGTTGGGGGTAGTGGAGACGAAGAGGGTGACATCTTTGAGGCTATAAGACTAGCTTCTAAGAATTTGTGATACTATGAAATTATGGTTGAAATACAAGATGTAGTTGTTTTACCAACCCGTCTAGTTTATATGGATACAATGATTAGATACGTGACGTGTGATCGACGACTGCAGGTATGTATGGACTAGCACAGTATGCGGGGTTGGTGGGGGCAAAGAGGGGTAACGGTGCATGTCTTGTTCATATTTCTGTGGGGGTTCTTCTCTACACAGAGAGCCTGGAAAGGGTTACGGAATAATTTGTCCATGGGAAACCTCATATTTTAACATTTAGTTGCATGCCAGTATTTTATTGATCCTCAAAATAAGGGGTAGACGATTGGATCCTCCAGATGCAATTGAGGTGAAAGTCATACACGAAGGGATTAATTGCTCAAGAGTTTTCTTCGGGTTTCTTTGGCGTTCTCACCTAGAACATTAGAAGCTCAAGAACTAATTCGAGTTCCATCCCACCCACTTTTCGAACCGGTTGGGACATGGACACGAAAAATGAATCGTCACTGGCTTCCTATCAGCAAACATGAACCATTCAATCAGTTGATCAACTAGACAGCTTGAAATTCTCGCCTGATATACTTTTACCTCACAAACTTTGAGGAAGAGAAGGACCATTTCAACAGGGTGCTTGCCTTTTCGTTATCTTTTACAATTGGTGATTGGAACACATTCTCGCTGGGTGCTTGAATCGGAGGCAGTCAAGATCTTCATACAACTAACGATGGTAGTACGAGGCTAATAACCGCCACAGCTTACAATGTCCCGTCTTTTAACAGATGGATGCAAGTATGTTTTAGGATATTCAAAATCATTTTGCCGGCAGAGAGGAGCTGCAAGGACAAAGATTTGTGACAATTCCGAGGCGATGACAACGGCTTCCAAACTTTTGTGAGATATTCCAACTTCAGATTTTGGATTTGTCTGGACAGTGTAAGATGAATGGAGGACAACGTGCTTTACTTCGCCTTCATTGGCAGTGAGAAATGATGACCGAGTGACTATTAAATATGATTACGGATCAAGTAATCTCCTCCAAAAACTTTCCAAAAGCAGGCGAAATTCACATAGGGCTCGCCTTGACACGCATTGCTTGGGGAAAGGGGGCTCTGGAAGCTCAGAGGCGGCTTGTGTGTAAAACTACCCACCCCCGACTACGATGACTTCTTCGAATAGCATCGCTCTGGTTTTATACCTAGCTTATGATAGAGACACATGTGTGAGAGAGAGAGCTTTGTGAAGGAGACAAAATCCCAAGAGCGAAGACCGATTACTTATTTCACAAGTTGATACCTACAGTCTACATTGCGTCCAAAACAATGGGCTCTACCGGTCTATCATTCTGGTAAAGCTTCATATCCAAGGTTATTATCTGTACCCTATAATGAGCGCAAGGTTGACTTGAATATCTTTAGTTCCTGAGTGTCACTGAGAAATTGAAGTTCGGAACGAGGGATGGTTCTATGAGGAACGACCGCTGATTGGATAAAAGAAAAGAGAAACCCGGAGATTCAAACCCCGATCTCCGATGGACACGGGAGTTTTACTGTCCCGAGCGGCAGCGTCCCTCTTGTCCATTGTAACAAATTAACAATTACTTTCTTCGTCATCCCCATGATTTGTCTCTCGTTTTCTTTTTTGTCCCATCCCAAACAAATTTAAGATCAAAAATGACAGACTCTACGGAAACGGAACGTTCAGGTCCCTACGGACGAGCTTGTCTCAATTGTGCCAAGGCAAAAACTAAATGTAACTTTGGTAGTGACCAAAGAATTTGTGAGAGGTATCTCTATCACGAAGTCCCTCTGTCTCCATAGACTAACTTGTCTAGATGTGGTAGGCTCAAAAAAGGATGTGTTACTGCTCCGGTGAAACGGAGACAAAAACCACGCGTGACTGCAGAACGTCTTGAGCAAAGATTAGACGGGCTTGTATCTTTACTGCGGACTATTTCGCCGAATAATCCAGCTGTCGAGAATGCCCTCAACAGTTTCACAGTTCGAACCTCTGATAAGCATGCATCAGATTTACATTCTACTGCCGTGAACACTTCGGTGAGAGATGCCGATGAAGTTGCACCTATTGATTCAGGTGCGGCTCATCTTCCTCCCACACCAGCATCGAGCGCAAGCCCAACGTATCCATACACTTTACCAGAGGGTGCGGAACCATCAATAGAAGAAGCAGAAATATATTTCCGTTCATTTTGTACTAGAAATCTTCCCCATTTCCCATTTATACAGTTTCAAGATGGCATGACTGCCCGCCAGTTGCGACAAGAGCGCCCCTTCTTCTGGTTATGTATTATGACAATGTCATCAACGGTCATCCAACGACAAATTACACTTGGCAAAATAATCCGAGAAATTGCAGCCCGGGAACTTGTTGTGGAGGGAAAGAGAAATTTAGATCTGTTACTGGGTTTGGTTTGTTTTGTTGGATGGTAAGCTATAGTCTTAATGCTGAACCCATGTTACTCACCGTTGTTCTAGGGGCCAGTATCAAATACGAACCGCGCCATTCATGACTCTATTTTCCAATCTTATCGTTACACTTGTGATTGATTTACAACTTCATCAACCTACTAGTGACGAGTCTCATATTCTGGGCCTGGAACATGAATTTCGTCATCATGAAATGATGGAGGTACCACTGACTCGAAATATGGAGCATCGTCGTCTAGTTATAGCCTGCTACTACCTAACCTCAACGTTCGTCAAAAGATCCTCTCTGATATGGCAGGCTTAAAGCGATCAAGGCTAACTCCAAGATTTCTAGTCTTTCAACCTTCCACAAGAAATTGGAAGGCGTAGTCTGGTGTCCTTATCTTGACAAATGTTTATCAAAACTAGAAGAAAGAAAGGATTCATCTGATGAGCTTCTAATCAACCAGGTGCGACTTCAACACGTTGTGCGTAAGACGGCAGAATCATATATAAATCTCATCCGTGATGGCACACCAGACCAACCTGGGAGTTCCACTCTTATTATGCTCTATATCCAAACTCTCAAATCCCAACTAGCGGAGGTCAAGAAAAGGATACCGTCGCATTTGAACGAAAATAGTATGTACACCTCGGAGGTAGAGAGTTCACTCCTAGAACTATGTGCTAACAGCTTCCAAGGAGCCTTGAACCTTCAAATTTACGGCGCGGAAGTGATGATTCATGAGTTTGCTATCTATCTTCCCAACTCCACTGAAGCTTCATCTATAGATTCCTCACTTTCTCGAATAGAATCACTTCATTGCTGTCTCAACTCCATAAGATCTTGGTTCGACATCCTCCTCAACTCACCAGCCTCACATTTTATAGGATTACCACTTCCAGTATGGAAACAATTCGGGGGAGTTTTCTTCCCTTTATATCGTTTGACGGTGCTTAAGGATCCAGCATGGGATACCGACATGGTCAGGAGGGTTTGTGCGCCTGGAAGAATCTTGGATGTGCTAGGACAAAGTCTGAAAGAATCAGAAGCTGAGGCCGCCTGGGAAAGAACCAATAGTGATTCCGAAAACATATTCACGTGTTCAGAAAAGGTCATGAAGATGTTTAAAGCATGGGTGGATCGTAAGCCGGGATTCAATGCGCCCATTACCATTACTTCCAACTCTATCGATGACTTCCAAGAAAAACAACAACAGCCAATATCAGAGACAGATCAAATGGCTTCTATGTCAGCTTTCATGCCAATGGAGATGGAAGATCTTTGGTCGCAGGATTACATGGGACTCTGGGATATGTATCCCAACTCTTTTTGAAAAAATTTAGTCAATGTTCCGCGGGAATCGAAGAGTGTGATGCATCTCGGATGCTGTAATAATACACAGATACTGGTATTGACAATTGACTCCACTTTACTTAACATATTCATTCACTGACATCCACATAAAGGATTTATACCATGCTGACATGCTGATATCTTGGTACATATCCACCTTCCTCCTTCCTATCACCAAATCCCTCGGAAATCCCTTCCCCACATATACCCTTGATTTTCCGGGCTCTTTTGAAACCCGAACCACGATAACCCCACTCGGGTTTTCTGGGTGACACGAGCCCCGTGTCCAATCACAATCACATACGCCTGAACACTTTCCGGAGATATATCATTTGGCCATGCATGAAGAGGTTGATGTCGTACAATAAGTATATGTATATGCCTACTTATTCAACGTCTTCTTCAGAATAATTGCCATTATATTCTTCTCCGGGCAAACTTGAACACTTTTCACGAAATGGCATCTTCAAATTTCCCAGCAAAAACCCATACCACCACCCGCTCATTTACCTACTCGTACATTCATATTCAGCCCTCATCCCCCTCAAAACCTTATATCCTCTTTCTCCATGGATTTCCCTCCTCATCATATGACTGGCGCCATCAAATAACCTATTTCTCCGCGAAAGGTTATGGAATAATTGCTCCTGACCTTCTTGGATTTGGCGGCACCTCCAAACCGCTCTCAGCCCATTCCTACAAGTTCAAAGATATGGCCTCGGACTTATATGAAATTCTGTCTTTACACTCCATTTCTGAATCTCATAAAGTATTGGGTGTAGGACATGATTGGGGAAGTGCTATGCTTTCACGCATGGTGAACTATCATCCGGAAATTTTCAAGAAATTAGTGTTTCTAGATGTGGGATACCAGGCACCTGATGGACCGGCTTTCAATTTCGACATGGTGAAAATGATCAATGCTCAAGTTAAGAAGATGGCTGGGTTTGAAATCTTTGGATATTTCTTTTTGATGGATGAGGAGGATAGTACAGAGTTGTTGGACAACAATGTAAGATCTTAGGATTTTTCTTAATCTTCCCCGCGTCCGGTTATGCCAAAGACAAAGTTCTAACAAATAATCAACATAGCCTGAATCTGTTATGTCCCTGTATTATAGCCTTGACAATGAGCTAGGCAAAGAACATATGGGAGCCACTGGCGGTTTTCGCAAATGGCTTGAGGGGAGTATGTTAGC